TATATATATATATACGCGGAAATAATTTGATAATTATTTGATTTTATACTCTTTAGTGTTCCTCAAGTTGCAACCTGGGTGAGCAAGTTAGAGATGTGGTATGTGTTACAAGTCTTCGGGGCTCTCTACGTGTCGTCCTAGACATGAATTGTCCTGCGAACAAACCAGAAACTAAGAAATCTTGTAGAGAACGTTCTTGCGTATCTACTTGGTTTATATCGGACTGGACGGCGGTAAATTTATTTATCTGTTTACATCACTTTATTACGTCAAAAAATTAAAATCTCAAATACTCAAATCAAAATACTCAAAAACTCATACAAATATATGTATGGTGTGTTTGATAGATTTAACGAATTCTAGTCACTTTCTGTTTGTAGTGTTCACGATCCTGCGGTAAAGGTATTCAGAAACGGGAAGTCCGATGCTTGAATGCGGACGGCCAATTACCGGAACCTCATCAGATTCACTGTCGAGAGGACGATCGACCGATATCTCGAAGGACATGCAACGATTATCCTTGCAAAGATGATTTACGCGCGTCTGAAAATTCTCACAGGGTTCTGCAAGTTCAGGACGATCCCGAAATAACGAATGGTAAAACAAATTCTCTTTCTTATTAAGAGAGTGTTTGCGATGCAGAGAGAGAGAGAGAGAGAGAGAGAGAGATAGTTTAATAAATATTATATTGTTGCGTGCGCGAATCGATCTCGATTGATTTCGCACCGTCACTCTCACACAAACACTTGCGTCGGAAATAACGAGACACTTGAAAGAAACTATGGAACCTTAATAACTGGAAAAAATATAGACAGAAAATATAATGATAATTGTAGCCGTCGGGAACTGTGTCCGCACGGCAAGACGATAGTCGTAAGACTCTCCTTTTTACAAAATGACGACTTTCCACAAAATGTCTCTCCTTGTTTATCAACAACCTTCGTAGTAACGTGCTAGGGGATGATCTCGCGGAGACGGGTACAGCAATTATCAAATATAATCGTCACAGACGTCACGCAGGAACGAAACACAAGGGACTCACGCAACAATATAATAACTATCTTATATAAACATTCTGTAGAACTGCTATAGAGTTCATAAAATGTCTTTTATGATAGAAGAAATTATATAGAATGATGGTAAATGTTCGGATTAGCTTACACTTCACGGATTGTTTTCATTTTTACATATATTGTAGAGGGTACATTTCTGTTTATGCAGGCCGTAACTGTTAATTTATGCCGGAACCGTTAGTGCCGGTCTACAATAGTGATTTAAGCCCTAAGCCTTAAGAAATTGACTAATCACAGTCGAGTATTCTCCTCATACTTGATCGTGATTGGTCAATTTCTTAAGGCTTAGAGCTTAAATCACTATTGTAGACCGACACTTACCCCCACTCCTTAAATAAAGGCAAACGCTCGGTCTAGATATACTATGTCTATGGTCAAGTCTAAATACAATTTGTTCCGTGACGTAAAACATAATAATGGGATAATAGGTATTATTACGCGATTATTTTGTAATTATTACAGGATTGCTGAGTATTCTACAAATTTTTCACTTTGGAAAAGCTTAAATATTGAAATGTACATTTACAAATTAGCATAAAACAAAGATGTAATATCGAACCATAGTGCGAGGGAAAAATTACGAGCTGTGCTATTCCATGTTTTCGAAGGTTAGTCCTTTGTGATGTAATAAGAATAAGTTTTAAAAAAAGGCTATATTTATTCTCTTTCTGCAATATGTTACGATTTGTATTAATATTATAGCGTATAATATAAAACCGTATATAGAAAATGGATAAAATAGATATACATGTTTGTAATGGAATGTACTTTTTTATGCAAGCATGCTATTTAACATTTTGCTTTTGTCTAAAAAAGGCATGTGTTTTTTTAACATTTATTCATATAACTAATCTTGCTATACCATTATAAATACTTTCTGGTAATCTAATCTTTGCTTGAAAAAATACTGAAAAGATACTGAGATATCTGTAGGATAGCAAAAACTTTATGTATATGTAAATATTTATACCATTATCTGGTAATCTAATCTTTGCTTGAAAAAATACTGAAAAGATACTGAGATATCTGTAGGATAGCAAAAACTTTATGTATATTATGTATATG